AAGGAAAAAGTTATGAAAAAAAGACTTAAAATTGCATTCAGGAGTATTTTTACAACATTAATCAGGATAAAAGCCCAGGACTATTTTAACAGCCAATAAACATAGCTAATAAAGGACTATATTGCATGTTCACAGGAGATTGCAAGACTCCACTTAAATCATTTTTACTAACTATTTCAGCTACTGGTCCCTGACAAACATTAGAAGTGAGAAAACCAATGCTTATGAGAGAGACTACAGTAAGAAACTGCGACATTGTGATAGAAAAAATTAAAAAATTTAAAAAATCCCAAAACAAACTACCAAATTTAAAAGTTACTTCTTGGATTAACTTCCTTTCCAAGACTACAGTTATGCAGCAAGTAGCAGAAAGGAACCGATCAAAGAAAAAGAAAGGCATGACTCTAAGAAACTTTCATATTACTGCAAAATATTATTGAGTATTACCCTCTGTTCTCTGATGCAGGAAAAATAAACAGTTAAAAAACCAAAAATAACAACAAAAAGGTAAAGTAAAAAAACCCATTAGCTAGAAGCCCATTATCTCAATATAGATACATTTAATATACACATAGTTTCTTAACATCTGAGTAAATTCTTTACAAGAATATTCTCCTGTTTTAAGCTTACAACTTCAGCTTTTTTTATTTAATCCCACCTTTCTGTATCTGAAAATACTTCTTAAACACAAACATAAATCTTCAAAGCAAGCAGCAATTCCATGACTTGAAGTAAAGGACTTGTGAAGTAATTGTTATAGAATGAGGTAACAGAACTATACTTTCTATAATATACCTTTATTTCCTTCTGTTAAATGTTACTGATGTTTGCAGTATCAACCCATTTTACCTCAGCAATAGACAATACATTCATTACAAGAAATTTGTGTTCACCTGCACCCAGCATGTGACCAGCTAATGTTTTTAAAGTAAGTGTTCAGTTCCATTATTATGTTCTATAATATTCTCTAAGAATCTTTTTAAACCTTGAATGGAAATATTTTTCACTTTGTAATTCTGCAGTTTGTCCCCAACACTGCAATGAAATACCTACAAACTAAACAGATGCTCTCTCTGTATTTGTTATATTGGTAGCCAAACCAAAACACTGAAATAGATTCAGACCAGAAAAATATTCAGATGTGTAAACAGAATACAAATTAGACAGAAAGAGACCCTTCCATCCCCACCCATGGAACCTCATCAACCTTATCTGCCTGCCATCCCTACCTAAACAACAACTCAACTACTCTGAATGAAACTGGAAGTACAGTTATTTTACTATAGAACACGTACGGCTGCTCTCTTCAGGGTCTTTGGGGGAGGAAAGACTTCTAATATCTTATTTTAAAGAAATATATACGGAATATATTCTATATAGAATACCATAGACTTTCTTAACTCACAAAGCAGAAAAGACTGGTATTTTTTTTCTGAATTTGCCAAATACACTTTTACTATAAAACAGTAATCCTATACATATCACTAAAAAAGAAAAGTTGTACTCTATTACAAGTATACTTCTACCACAGATTACTTCAAACTCCATTTCTCTGTTGTCATGCTGTGCATAATATCCTCTGTATTATTTCAGAGGTAGTGATTGTAACAGCTTGACATAACTCAGTCAACCTACTAATTACATTTGAGTATTCAAAATCCCGAATGGCCAGCTACAGAATGCAATGTTAATGCTACTTACCGCATCCTTTTTAGTCCATACATGCGTTCCTGTTGTGCAGCCTTCTTGAGCTAAAAATGTATTGAAGTCAGATGTTTTTCTTTTACAACAGCTCCAATACTTCATCCTTGAAAGTTTGCAAAGTAATTAACAAACAATATTTAGGACACTATTTACTGTGAGTACTTAAGATCTTTCCTTTATGCAATATTACTGTTAATTTAGCACACCCTCTTCAAGCATTGCCATTTTTGACTGAAGAAGAAATACAGAATGAAAACAAGGCAACATCTACAAAGAAAGCAGGAACACATATAAGACTAATTAAAAAATTGAAGTTAACTGAATACTAACCCTTCGTGGAATATAGCTACACCAGAATGGTATATACATACTTCTTCTGTGCTGTGTGGTCCTTCGTACGTCTAGTAAAACAAAGCATTTAAAGTGTATTACTGTTACAGGATGTGGACCAAAGGAAAAAACAGAACAAAACAAAACACAATCCACAAGAGAAACACTGAACAAAGTATTACAAAGCTTTTGAGTACATAATCTAAATCTAATGGCTTGCCCCAGCTTTTCAAAATAACCATTCAACCTTCATTCACAAAAGGTTCCCTGGCACTCCTTCTAACAAGCTGTATTTTGTACTAGTTCAATGGAGTATGTCAAGGGTGACATCATCGATGCTCATAAAGGTCATTTTAGATCCTCAGAGATACCTATCTTTAAAAATACTCTGAATATTCAGAGAAAACAAGTACTTAACTTGAAAATAAATTAAATTTATCATCCATAAAACACATGAATCCTCAAAAGGAAGTAAATTAAATGATATACAACTCTGCTACTGAATATCGTATCAGTTCTTCCTAACACAAACAAGAGACTGCTATAAATTCTTCTCCCACCAGTTTCAGTAGAAAATGCAAAATCTGTCAGATGTCCAGTGAAATACCTGTTTAAATTCTACTGTCCTGTTCTGTACAGCACAAAGGTGTCAATGTAAAAAACTTTCAGTTTAAATGGCCGTGTAATATAAAGACTAATTTTGGTGCTAGAACATTTTCTTTACAGATTCTTCTGGCACGAAGCATTAAATGGTAAGATCTGCAGATGCTTTTGACCTATACCCAGATTACCAAAAGCAATTCAAGTGTTATCAGTAAGCCACCTCTCACCAATATTATATTTAACATTTTAAGTTGAAACATGTCAGTATCATGGGTTTGGCAAGCCTACTATTAGAAGTTCAGAACAGGCTTAAAAAAAAGTAATCGTGGACTTACTGCATCCACAGTACAAAACAGCCCACATTTGTCCATATTAGAGTGTGTTATCAAATGTGCATTCGTTAAGCCTGATGGACTTTGTGCCATTTCCAAATCACTTTGTAGCACACATAAACACCCAACAAAGGAAAACAAAACTGCAAACTTAATAGTTTAGCAGCTGGGTTTAAGAGTGGAACTGAAACACTTACTTTTGAACAGCCTGCATTTTTACATGCCGTCCCAATCTTGATTTCATCACTGTCTTCCTCTGTAAACGGAATCATATTATAGAAAATAGCAAGTAAATTGTAAAATGTACTAAATATTTTGCTTTTATTGAGAATTAGAATGAGCTAAGGAATAGATTAGGAAAAAAAACCCTCTCAATCTGTCTATTTTCTGCCTGGCACTGAAGTCTGCCAGAAAGGTTCAAAGAAACAGAAATTATGCAAACATTCCAAAAGCTGCATTACCTATGCATCAGATTCTATACCTTTACACTGTTTCAAGTAGGGCAAAAAAAAATTGATGAAGAGGATTATTACAGTCATAGGGGAAGAGAACAATCACTCATCTTGTTTGGTTTTGTAAAAGAATGTAAAAGGCTCCAACTGCTGTCTATAAATACACACAAGGAAAGAATTTGGATACCAAGTAGAAAGAAGAGCTAAATGACAGTTTTGGCGCAAGAACAAGAGAATATAAAATAGCCACAAATGTAGGTTGAAATTAGAAAGTGATTCTTAAGGAGCAGTGTAGCTCTGAAACCAAATTCCAAATAAACCGTGGGAAGGAAAAAAGAAGAAAAACAGACCAGGGAGAACCAACTAGACTTCAGAGGAATTTCATCAGTTTATGAAAGGTTTTATATGACATCGTGTTTGCAGTAACATAGGATTAGAGTTCATTGCTTAGGAAACTCTTTCAGTTATATGTTCAGAAATGGATGTTCCCATCACGTCCATTCTAACCAGGAAATCTCACAAAACAGGCAGTTCAAATAATTTTAATGGGAACATACACTAACACCCAAGTCTCCACATTGTTCACATTTAAACTTCGATTATCATTCCCTAAACTGGAAGGTATTTCCCACATTATTAAGAACAAGAACATAGTTACATGAAATAATTACTTCAAAAACAAAAAAATAGCATTTCATTTATCTGTGTGACAATCAGCATCATATACCTACTTAACATCTCTACATCCTTACCTTTTTTCTCTTCGTTTTCTGATGACAGTTTCAGTTTATCTAGTGCTTGCTTCAAGGAAGCTGACACTTTCAGCTGCAAATTTGTCATTGGCTCATCTGGGCTAAAAAAAAGTCCATGTATTCATGTCAGCTTCATCAAAAATAATTTACAGAAGACAACCAAGTGGTAAATTTTAATCTTGCTATAAGGTTCTTCCTTTCCAACCTCCCTTACAACAATAAACAAACAAGATTTGTAAATGCCAATTCTTACTGTTTATGGAAAAACAGACTAGAAATTTAGAAGGCAGTCTTGGACTTCAACAGGAAATCCTAAATACTCTACAACAATAAAAATCAATAAGAGAGATTAAGGAATCTAAATACAAGCACCCTAAAATCATTTTTTATGACTGTTTAAAACATTAAACACAACTGCTAGTGGTATTCTAAGCTATGAGGCTTTAGACTGCAATTTTTATTTCAAGCTAAATGCTGAGAGATCCAGTACTACCTTGTTCTAATCAGAATTCCTTCATCTCATTTTGAAGCTTAAGATAACATCATCAATGCTACCAAACACAAGTTCTTTTAAAGTCAATTTGGGAATTTTTGCACTATATGAGATGTGTAACACTGAATAACCAAACGAGCTTTAACTTGGCCAACTGACCACAAATCTGGCAAAACTTAGTTTCGTATACTGTACCTTGGCCTTTTAATTGTTTCCAATGGTTTTGGTGCCTGAATTATGTGTTCTTGAAATTTGGGTTTCAGTTCAGCTAGCTCCTTTCGTTCAGAGGTAGTTTTGACTTCTGGTTTAACAGGCTCAGGAGGTTTCTCACTGTTATGGAAACCCTTTGTACAGCCCTATTATGGAAAGCATATGTTTATATATATGCAGTGTGCACAATTAAAAATTATCAAAAACTGCAACGAGTTTTCTCGATTTATTTCTTCAGCCCCATCTTCTCCTTTAAACCCACTCTAAACATTGGCTGCAAAGGAAATCCTACAACTAAAGTGGAAAATATCTTCATTTGGACGTATGTTAAAGAAAAATGCATACTTTCCGTAATCTAGCAAAGTAACAAAAAATATTGACCTTCCTTCATTGTTAACAAGCATCTAAATAGGTTTTGATAGAACTAATTATAAACAGTAAAGCTGGAAAATGAGACTCAACTTCAATATTATATCAAGAAAAATAGTACATGCAAGATTAATACAGTTTTAACAAAAGTACGCAAATTTTAAACATGTAAGCACATGTGCCATTTAATATTTATCACTGTCATTTGACAAGTATAAAAATTGTAAATAATCATGAGTACATACCACAATACTTAAGAAGTCAGAAAAATCAGTTGTTCTTCTCTTACAACATGACCAACCCTATAAACATTTTGGAATAAAAACAAAACAAGCATGACTACCTTACTTGGCAACAGCTTATAAAAAGCAAAAGACTAATTATATTCCTTTACAAGATGCGGCACATCATGTTTAGAGATTATTTTCTTCCCTTCTTTGGACAATATTGTCATCGTGCATTTTTAAAAGCCAGAGAAACCTGTTACAGCTGCCATTTCTAGTTCGCTCATGCTGCCTTAATCAGATAGTTCGGTAAACGTGAGGCAATATTTCCATGACAAGTTAGGTGCCAACTCTGTATGACAGAAAACAGAAATGTTACTTTATCTCATAAAGTAACACGTTAGCAAAACAAATACTATACCTAAGACTAGGCTCACTTGTGGCATAATGTACAGGCCCCTTTCCTAAAATGGTGAGGATTTTTTCTTTCCTTGAGCACTAGTCAAGTCTTTCAACTGCTTATTTTCCACCACAAAGCTGGAGATCTACCTTGCATAGCCGTCTATCCAACTACATCAATCAAGAACATGTTTTATTATATAAACCAGAAATCCAATTTTAGAGAAAATTCTCTTGCCACTGTGAATAATTTATCTTACAACTCGGAGAACCTTATTAAAGGCAACAGTTTGACTAATAAATGCACCACCGCTTTGAGAGCTTAAGCAGTGTGACAGAATGGGTTTTAGGTAGGTGGTTCTAAAATATCCTCAAAATATTAACTATTTCCACAGTCAAGGAGAGAAAAGGTTCACCCTGCCCACTTAGATTATCTAGAATTCATAGCAAGAAGAAAACCACCCATACAAAATTATGATGAATTTTTAATTAGGCCAAGAGATAGGATAAGGAGAGGCGGGAAATTAGTACTTGTTTTAAAAACGGTGCGTATATAAGAGAAAGAGGGAGTAAACACAATCTTTTGAGGTAACTGTATAATTTCTGTCTTTATAATTAGGTACTGTGTTATAAGTACAACTATAACTTTGTACAAAAAGAATTGCCATAGTCTAAGTAACTGTATTGTATTTGACCTAATATTGTCCATCCTAGTTTGTGAGTGGCACACTGTTGCTGATTCCGGAGTCATGTACTGCAATATGAGCAACAGCTCGCAGAAAACACGCTACCCAGCACATACGCACAAACTTACATGAGCCCAAAAGACACCACATTATGGGACAGGGGTAAGATGCACTGCCAGTAGAAGCAGTTCCTAAACACCAAGAAAAAATGCCTGCCCCAAAGCTTGGTTAAATAGCAGTTTGGTGTCCTAAGAAGTGTCACTTAGGCTATATCTGTATTAATACAGTAAACAGTGCCAGGCTCCATTTCTGGACACCAGATTTCTGGCCATACACTATTAAACTGTTAGAATGATTTCCAGTATTGTTTTGGCCGTTGTGTCTCAGGTAATTCCCTGTAGGCACTTTGGATGCATCCAGTAGATCCGAAGTAGGAAAACAGTTTAATATAATGAATATGGGCTGCGCAGTTGGCCTAAGCACTGGAGACCAGTCACGGGTATATTTAATTCACTACTGAAGATGTAGCCCAAGAATCCTGGACAGCTGCATCAGATGCATGGGTGACCAGTCCCAATTTAATCAACGTACTCATTTGTCAGATTAACAGAACACAACTATTTTTTATAGTAGGCAAATGTCGCATACACATTAGTTCATAAGCCACATAAGACCACAAGCAGCTGGTTTGAATTCCAAGCAGGTTAATTAACTGAAAGAATGAGACACCTAAACTTAATCAATAGGAAACGTGTCATACAGACTTGCATGGCATTTAGACCGTATGAGTACAGTTTTTAACAACTTCTTCAGGTCTGAGTAAGCATGCTTTTCTAATTTCATGGGGTTGCTCAAACATCCCCATGAAATTAGAAAAGCAACTGAAAGATTTGGAATTAAAAAGGAAAACAGGCATACTGTTTTACATATATGGAAAAAAAGATAAGACTTTAAAAGCTAGTTGCATACTTACTTTGAGAGCATCATGAAAGACTGGCACACCTGGATGATACGTGCATGAATCTAGAAGAAAATTACTATTATTAATATTCAGGCATACCAAGAATCCTTATTCATCTGATCACAAACCCAACAAAAATTTCACACTTGCAATTCATGTATGCCATGAGCTGTCCTACTTCCCCAAGTGCACAGAATTATGAAGGAAAATACAGACTCCACAGAACAAGCTTTCTGAGTGCATATATTAAACCTAAATAATCCAGATTTTTTCTTCTGTATTATACAACACAAACCAGAAAGCAGGCATCTAAGACAAACTTCTACTCCATATGGAGCAAGTAAGTTTTCTATGGATCATCCCTTGCCTTCATCAATAATTAGTCCTTAATGGTAATTCAGCAGAAGTAAAAAAGGTGGCCTTATGGCCACCCGACAAACATGAAATACCGGTTTACAGCACCAAATACATCTATTTGCACCTGATTAAGGCGTTCTATCTAGAAGCTCTTGATGTGTTAAAAAATTCTCTTAACACAAATCTTTAGTTCATTATTTTATCCATGATAATTAGCTTGTTCTTTTTTCACTGTTTGTGGTACCCTAGGTCACTTAAGAACTTGAACCCAAAGGCCAGTCTTCCATATACACAACTTAGACATGTCAATACTATTAATTATTAATAGGTTCTGTACAAACGCTACACTGAAACATGGCTTCTAAACTGTTTATATTCACAGATGTTTATCAACACTACAGCTTTTTCTGTAGCAACTGTTCCTTTTTTACTTAACAGATGTTTTTTTTTCAAGTGTAATATAATTGCTCTGATTATGTAACTTCTCTTTGACATATACTGCATGGGTAATATTTTAATGACCTGACTCTAAAAGCAATGGGAAACACTAGAGCTAAAATTAAAAGTGACACAAACAGTAACAATTTTTATAATAAGCCCCTGTAAAACAGAAGAGTGAAAAATATCACAACTCACATAATAAAAGTCAAAAGAGAAAAGTGATAAATAACTTTATTAGTAATCTGCCTACAGATATTAAATGGGCTTAAAGACAAATAACTTTGTTTTCTTTTTTTATAAATACGTAGATTTTTAAGAAATCTTGCTTAGTATCATTTTCTTTAGTTTTATATTCAGTGTCTAAGGCTAAGGCACTAATACAGTCTGACAGACATGTTGCTTTAAGATGATAGTTCCCACCTTAACTCAAAAGGCACATAGTTTGGGATGTTAGTCCTTCAGCTGGACTTACATACATATCCATGAACTTCTACCAATTCCTTCAGCTTCAGGATGAAAAGCTAATGCTTTTGTAAATGTAAACCTCACAGAAAAATAAAAAAATGTGGTTATTTTGTATAAAGAAGCCAGGACTTCACTGTTAAATCAAATAAAAGTAAAAATAGAGGTTATTCTTTTCCAAAAGTATGAAAGTATGTCATCATAAGCATCATGGTAGAAAAAGTAAGCTCTGTTTGCAGCAAAGACTATTTTTGAATCAGAAGACGTAAATTAATATTTCTAATCCCTCACAAGCACGTGGGTTTAAATGAGAGAGGTGCTGTTAGTCAGTGCAACATTTTTAGAGACCAAAACCTTCTTACAATCAATTAACTCAGGGACGGCTATCCTCTAGCTCACAAGTCAGACACAGACAAGCATCTATTCGTCCATCTAGCCAAGTCCAATCCTTTTTCCTTGCCTCCCAAAGCCCTCTCTGCAGGGGGTACACCATGGAGCAAATGACAGCCGACTCTCTGCTGCTATCTGATGAGGGCCATGCATGTTCAACAACAGAAAATGCTGAGACAAGGAGTTCTGCGGTACCTCAAAGAGAGGCAGTGGGACTTACCCACTAAGCAGTCTGACCATTCTGCATACCACAGGACAGTAAAATGTCCCTCATTTTCACTCATACTGAGCCCAACAACTCTTACCTGATTGAAGTTTACATCTGTAAAAATATCCCATCTCAGACTAGGTGGGAAAAACCAGGAATCTAGCACACATCAAGAGTCACCTGAGCAGTTAGAAGCATGTCTATTTCTGATTTGTCAGAGTTCAACTTCCAGCCTTTGGTTACTATTCTACATTTTTCACCAAAAAAAAATCAAGTCACATCTCCACTGCTTTTAATACCTTTTCCTTAACCAGGACAAACTTAAGGTTTTTCAAAACAAGGCATTTTCTCTCACTCTCAGATCATTTTTGGAGATGCAAGTAACATAAATTTTCAGGTTGTTTAGTGGGTTCTTTTTTTTACGCTGATTTCATACCCAAATCAATCCCACCCTCACAATGCACTCACTGCTGTCTGCTGCTACATCCTTGCTTATTCATTGAAGCACTTTATTAGTCTTTTTGTTAAATGTCAGAGTAGAAAATGGTACAGGTCATCCAAACTTACAGGTATTTACAATGGAATCGTGTTGAATTCTTGAGGGCTAAATGGGACATCTGTATATATACAACTTGCAAACCAACCTGCTATCCTGTGGAAACACTCTAATACTTTGCAAGCTATGCTTTACAGCCCCAAAGCAATGGAAGGTCATTAAACTTGAACTTCGTTCAGTACCTTGGGGAAGTTGATGCCTTCAAATGGTTGCTGAAGCTAGGAAGCTAATTCCACTGAACTTCTCACAGTGTTGGAAAAAAACATAGAAAACAGGACAAACATGGTATGGCAATGTTCACAGAGAAAAGAAAGGCTCAGCCTGAGAAACAGAAAGCCACGAGGAAGACAGAAGATCAGAGGGTGCACTTCACAGGAATAGAGTTTGAACTGCGGGGATCAGACAAGGTTAAAGAAAGCTGATTTTGAGCATGCAGATTCAAAAAATCCAGGCTACCACTTCTTGCAACTCCATCTCTCACTCACTCCACCCCAGAAATACATAAAATAAGTTTTCATCAGGTCTGTTTATCCTGCAGGTGCAACATCACTAAGTCTGATCTAAGGAAAAAGGGGATAAACAAGCACAAAAAAGTACGTGATTCTGTTCTGGCAATGGACCAAATTAAATCGCATTAAGAAAGATCCAAACTACAGCCTAAACCAAAAAATGTTGCAATACAGTGAAGAAATTGAGACAAACACAAATAACATATACACTTTCCATCTGTGCACACCACAACTTTACAACTGTCATTAAGCAGCATTGCTTTCAAACCTAAACCAAAGTGTGCATGTACTACCTCATACCACTGTTCTAGCAGCAAAATTTGACCTGGCCTTGAAATGGATTAGAAATGGTCATATGGTCATTCACAGGTTAAAAAAAAAAAAAAAAAATTAAAAACCTGCTACCGCTTTTGAAGTTAAGTTCTACCTTCTACTGTCAGATGTTGTACAAGTCTTCAACATTATGGATTAACTAGTAGTTAACGTATCTAAAATGCATGTGAAATTTGTACCTTGCCAGGCATGCCACAGATGAATTTATAACTGTGTATTCAGTCACAACTGTGTAGACATACCTTTAATGCTTTCCCTCAGGCTGTTTTTTCTGCCTCTCTTTAAGAAGCATATAGTCCTTCATGTCAGCCAGTTGCCACTTGCTCATAGTTTGGAAACAATTAGAGTTTCTACAGAAAACACATGCATATATTATTTTAGCCATCTGGTTCTAAAGAGAAGATTAATGGCCTTTTACATCAATCATCGCTATGGGAATATCTATATTGCAGGCTGAATGTAGATAAAAACCCTGAAAGATCCAATATTGTTTTGAGGCCAGCAGGCCTTATTTTCTACCTATTTTCATTTAAGAAAATTTCCTATTAATATACTGATCCTAAGCTTAATTATTAGATTATGTCAATGCAAAACTTATTAAAGGGATAAGTATTTTGGTGTTTAACACCTGTACTAGCCTTAATCCCCACAATATTTTAGAAGTAAATCCAAACACAGTTCTGAAACACAAACAAACATTTGAACTTGACAGCCATACACAGCTAAATATGGATTTAGCTGCCTAAGTAGTAATCATCCCATTGACCTTGGTGAAGTTTAGGGATCCCAAAAGTTATAATCACTCTACTTCTGCTGAAAATGTCAAACTTGGTTTTCTGAAGTGGTCCATCAGTAACTACGTTTACCTTTAGAACTGCTTAGTCTAGGACAGTAATTCCAGTAAGCGTTCCAGCCATTTACTGAAATAAACTTTATCTCAAGAAGTTGTTTTCCCCAATCCAAGCACCACACAATTAGCATAGGGCCATGCCAACCAGATCGGGTTTGGCATGAACACAGGAACACATGGTAAAGAACTGTTATTTTAATAAGAAGAACAGGTTATGAAACCCCAATGAGAATTTTTAATATAAACACCTCTATCTGCTTTGACTTTTGGGGCAAAGGGGCATGGGGTGTGATGATGGAAGAGGTCACTAAATGGAAGCATTCCGCAACTATGTCTGCTTTTTCTGTTACTAACAATTAGTGAGTCTTACTCAAAATGCCACCCCTCTTTGGAAATACTTAGCTCAGAAAAATAAACACACTTTATGCCATGATTCTTAATCACAGAATATGCACATGCTAAAACATGTCAGCCTACTTCTAATCTTGTGGGTCACTAAAAATTAAGCTAATGCAAAGAGCCCTTCTAGAACTTCAGCCAACAGAGTTACTTTACAAACCAGTTGAGGGCAAGCCTGCTGAGAACTAAGATCACTTTTGCAGCCTCTGTGGAGCTATAAAACCTAAAATTATAGTGCTTTAAAGATGTTTCACCAGGTACTGGATTCCCAGTATACAAAGGGGAAGCACTACAAGAGCTCACAGCACTTGGCAAAGCAGACATACATGCATCATAAGACACATTTAATTACCTGCTACAAGTCCACATACCATAATTAAAAAGAAACCTTATCAACTACTTGATAAGGTAACTTCTATGTATGCAACACCCACAGAGATCCTCAAAAGAAAAACGTCTTTTGCTCAAGGCCTCTAGCTTCCACCTTTAGAATGCATCACAGTAACGTACAGAACTGCTTCTTACTGCCTCTTTTCCCTCACACTGCTGTGAACAGTTTTATTATTATAAAAAAAACCTTAAAGCCAGGCTCACCGCCAGCCCCGCACTTTCGCATTGAAGGGACAACTTCCAGCCCGGGCAGGTTTCGCTGTCCAGCTGCCGCCAAGCCCGCAACGGAGCAACCTGCAGCATCGTTTTACCACACCGGACCACCCCTCCACCCCTCAAGCGACAGAAAGCACCACATGAAAAAACACGAGTTTCCCGGGGGCGAAGCGAGCCGGGGCCAGCACCCTGCCAAGGCGGGAGGG